GGTATGGCCAACAGTCTCTTCCCATGATGGAATAATATAGGTGCATGAAGGTATGACTGGGTTATTAGGATCAGATGGATGGGCACTAGTGAGAGGTGAGGGTCTGGCAGTGGTGGGAACTAATCAGGACTACTAGCAACTCTTTGGGAAACCAAAGTAGCACAGCCAGGACCAATACAATTTAATATACTTTCTAGAGAAAAAGTCTGAACAGAATTTCTGTATGAAGTATAATGAATGAAGTGGCAGACTCTAAATGGATTTCATGGGAAAAGGTTTGAAATCCTGTAATATTTTTGACAAAGCTTTTCATTCAAGTATAAGTGAATATTCTGCAAAGAGCTTCCAGGATGAAAAGCCCAATAAGACACTTATTTTTTACTAACAGGTTTTCTGTTTCATTCAAGCATATATATGTATTTATGCATACATATAATTGGCTTCCATAAAAAGCTGAGCCTCTCTTTTTTTGACATAATCCAGCAAATACACCCCAGAACATGCTGAACACCCCAAAGCAATGTATCTCTGCTTCTTAAAAAGTGTGAATATTTTGCAGTTAGCAGCAACTGACTGTTATTCCATCATGGGAAGAGGTGGTTTGCCATACACCAGTATTATTATGAAAACAAAAAAGAAAGGAATGCAGTAAAGTGCCAGATGTAGTAAAAAGCTGTGTTGACAGTGGGGTGACACTGTAAAATTGTTGTATGCTGTGATTTGAAACTTTTTGAACCCAATGATGTCTGATTTCCACCCTCATAATCAGTGAGTCAAACTTAGCCCCCGCCCCCCACTCCCCTAACTCTACCTATGTCTGGGAAACTGGGGAAATGGTATTCCACCTCATTTTAGGGTGACTGAAGAGTGATTGCTATTCTTCATAGGGTCATGAATGTGCTCAGCTGTGGCTTTTCAGTCTTTACTCTGGACTGACCAAACTTGCCTCTAGATGGAGATTTGCAGGTGTCAGCATGGTAGAAAAGGTTCTGCTACTACAGGTTCTCGGTAATTAAGACCTGGCAGCAATGGATAATTCTCTGATTAAATGGTCCAAATGATTCAATGGGCACAAAGTTAAAAAAACAAACAACCCCCAAACAAACAAACAAACCAACAAAAAGCTCTAAATTCTGCATTGTTACAATCCACAAAAACAAATCTTACAGCAAATTTCCCATGTTCTTCTCTGCCTCTTTTTAAATTGTGACAAGAAGTGACATCTAAACCTCTTGCAGGAGTGATTGTAGCATCTACTGACTTAAAAAAGAACCTCTAATAGTAAATTAGTCCCTAAAAGCAATTACTTCATATTTGGAGGCTGCAGATTATTTTCTATTGAAAGTTGAATAATCATTTCTACTAAACATGTGCAAGAGGGGATTCGTGCCCTGATGAAAACTGTGGCAGATAAATCCCATGATGGTTCTGAGTGCCAATACTGTTTAAAAGAGGACAGTGATCTTCTGAAACTTGTTTGAGGACAAGACAAGTAGAAGCAGAGGCAAATAATCAAAGCAATCAAACAGTTCTCCCTGAACAGCTGTCAAGACCACCAATATACACGTCCTGTGCCATGAGTTTGTGGTGATGCACATGATATGCGAGCACCATGGCAACAAGATATTAATCAATACAGATGGGCACAGGTTGGGGTAAGTCTTCAGAGGTGCAAGTCGTAGGCTGGATCTCATGCACACAGCAAGCCCCAACGGCACCAGTTTCAGTGCTACCTTACCATCACTGCATAGCTGAATTCATTATGGCTCAACTTACATCTTCCTCTGAAGGATCCATGTGTTGGGTCTGGTATACAAATGCCTGGACGTGAAGAACAACTTCCCTCCCAGTTCTGTGTCCCTCTCTCTTTGTGGTTTTCAGTTACAGACTCTGGGCAAGTTTGCTAGGGAGACATCACTGATGGAAGTGGCACTGTGCCAGCAGTATTTGGCACTCTGAATGATGGCAGGGTTTTTCAGAAGAGTTCAAGTGACAAGATTAGGTGCCCAATTCCTCTTATGGTTGGTGAGTAGCCTTCTCTTGGCTCCTCAATATCTCTGTGATGCCACTGATGCCCAGTGCAGGCACTTCCTACTTGCCAGCAACATGAGACAAACAACAGACAATTTAATGGCCCAAAACATTCTGTTTCTGTAGTTTATTCTATTTACCTAGATTTTTATTTGATGACACACCAGTAAAGTGCACCTATACAAACTAGAGTACCAGGCACAGTGTGCCAAAGAGTTAGACTCACATTTTCAGCTGTGAAAGTGACCACTGGAAAAGATCCATGTATTTTCTCTCTTAATAGTGTCTTTAAACAGAGCTTGGATATCCCTCCAGCCTCCTGAATGGTGACTTGCTGAGATTTTTGGGCTTGGAATAGCTCAGTAAAATTTAGGGGTGATACATAAGCCAGGCAATGAACTGTCTTCTGCACTAAGGCAGTTACTATCCACAAGGGAAATATTTCTCACTACACAGAAATGCCTGGCCATGGCTGGGAGTATGTGTGGCAAGGTTATGAACAGCTTTGACCATGAAGGGGTCAAAGGTTTCTGTAACTGGGAATTTCTGACCCTCTCTGGAACTTCCAGTTGGTGTTAAGGTGCTGCTGGTGTCAGAGCCTCATAGGCATTGGTGGAGAGGTTTCCAGTGTAGCTGGTATTCTCTATTAGGGATTAAGAAAGCAATTATTTTTTCATGGTGGTAACAAACCTCTAGCATAGAGATCCTGACATCCTTGTGTTTGTGTGTGAAAAATACACCAAAGAAAGGCATTCATGTTTAAAGTACAAGTGATAAAGAACACATGAAGGCAAAACACAAAATAGGTCAGATGCAAAAATCCCCCTACAAAACTGGAGAGGAGAATGTAGGCAAGTGTAATATTGTTATCTGGACTGGAATTTAATCAAAACTTAAGTATGAGGTGATGTGGTACTTGAGTGGCGGGATCACTGCCTCAACAAAACTGTACTAGATTCGGCCTGTCTTTTCAGAGATTCAGGCATGCACAGGTATAACTTGCCCAACCTCAACCAAGCTGATCCTGATATCCACAAGGACACTCATATTCAGATTTCCCAGCTCTTCCCCTCCTCTTCCTTTCAAGGTCTCTCTGCTTGTGTCATGTGGAATGGCATGCGTTCAGGTGTGGATCAGAGAGACTTTGAAATGGAAAATCAGAGGATACCACAGGCCATACTGTAGAAGAGCTGGCAAAGCTTAGAACCAGGCTGGCAGAGTGGTGAGGGTTAGGACTAAGGTAGGTTTGTATGGAGCGCTGTGTTTGGAGTCCCAGAGAAATCTGTAAGCCAAGAATAATGAATACTGGCAGAGCTCCCTGTGAGTAACAAACGGCTTATCCTGTCTAGGCTAATGACAAAATGTTACATATTGGCATTTTTTTTTTTTTTTTTTTTTTTTTTCAGGAAAAGAAAGATTAAAGCAACCGCTATACCTACCCACTCTGCTTTGCTCTGATAAGATGCCAGAATTACATGACTTCTACTGTGTAACAAGGTTCTTTGTGTGGGTGTAGCAGCCCCTCCCCATACCTAGCGGATACACTCCAGGGAATTTTTGCAAGTGTGATTATTGCCTCTTGTAAGGTCACTGAGTAAAGAAAGGTAATACATTGTGTGAAAAAATGTCATGTTTTGTGTGTTTCCATAAAAGCACCACAAAACAGTCCTACCTAAAGGTTATTATCACTATTATATGCACAGCAATGGCCTCCCATGCATATTACTCTGCAATATGTTGGGCCTCAGCCCTGCCCTACATCAAACTCAAGCTGGTAATTTGAAAATTAAGGACTTGATGTAAATGCAAGCCAGTCTAGTTCACAAGATATCTCCATTGCTCAGTCCCTCTCTCAGGTAGAGGGCTTGGCATTACTCGCTGCCTCCAATGCTCAGGCCAACAGCTTGCTGCCATTGCAATGCCATGTACTGCTCCCTCTTTAGACATGCCTGTAGATGCTGAGCATTGCTGGTAGATGTATCTCCATTTTCCCCTCTTCTCTTCCTTCTGCTCCACAGCTGCACTAACTTGCCCGTTGTATGACGATGCTCACTTTCTACCCAAACTTCCCATTACTAGGAGTGCCTGGTGCTGGGATGAACTGGGACCCACATGCAGTCTCTATGGGCTTGTCATCTCAAGAGGTACCAAACTTGGACTTGGGATATTTTCCCTTGTGCAATGTATTACTAAAGACCCAAACACATCACCTGCATGAGATTTGAAGGATTTGCTGGGCAATACAAAGCAATGGGCTCTGGGGCTACTTGTGCAGCTGGGAACCCAGAGGAAGATCTTCAGGGAGAGGTAGACTCTGTGGCTGTGGCTCGGCCATGCCTCGGCTCGGAGGTGACAGGAGGATCTGCTCTCCCTGAGACACGAGCTTGCTCCTGTGGCAGCCTTGGCCCCAGGACCAAATGAACACGGTTTGTGACCATGCGGTGGTTGCCTACGCCCAATTTACTTGCTCGCTAGCCCGGCCCGCCTGCACGGCTCAGCTGTCACTGCCCCCGCCCGGGCCTGGGGCCGGCTATGCCCTGCACGGCTTTGGGGCGGGCGGCGCAGCCCGGCAGCTCCGCGGGGAGCGCTCGCCGCGCTGGCCGGCCGTACCCCGCGGCCCGCGGGGGCTGCCCGGCACCCGCACACACGCCCGACCGCCGCGGGCTCCAGGTGCCGCCGGGATCTCCAGGTGCCGCCGCGGGCACGGGGACGCCGCCCGCCCCGCGCCCTCCGCCGCCCGCCCGGTGGCGAGGGGCCGGGCGAGAGGCGGTGCGGCCCCGCCATTGGCGGCGGCCGCACGGCGATAGGCGCACGGCGCGGTCAGTGCCGGCCGGCCCCGCCCCGCCGCGGCTTTATAACGGGCATCCCCATGGCCGAGGCGGGGAACCTGCTGCCGCGGGACCGGTATCGTCGCACCGCCCCGGAGAGCCGCCTCTGGTGGCCGCAGAGCCGCGCTGCCCCGAGGGACGATGATGCCGCGGGCCTGGCGCAGCGCGGGGGCTCGCCCGTTCCTGCTGGCGCTGCTGCTGGTGCATCTGCCGCCGGCTCGCAGCCATCGATCCACGGGGCCCCGGGTAAGTGAGCTGGCCCGGGTAAGTGAGCGGGCGCGGCAGGTTGCAGCGCCCTGCCCCGGCCCGCCGCCCCCGCGCCCTGTCAGCGCCGCAGGTGGAGCCCCGGCCGCCGGGCAGCGCCCCCGGCCCCGCGACCCCTGGGCGCAGACCCTCGCCAGGGCCTGCCCCGCTCGCTTATTAAAAGCCGGGTATCGGCTGCGTGCGAGAAGTTCTTACACCGGTTATTAACTTGTTGGTATTTATTGCAGAAAAACACGGGAGGGGGGAGGTTGGCAGGCTCTGTTTTTATATTGCTTGACTTGCATTTAATATAGCCCCTGTTTCCAGCACATAGCTTTAGGACTTTTCTTCTTTTATGTTCTCAAGCAGGGATTAAATGAATCCTTCCAATAAAGCTAGATCCCTTCAGCCCAGGTTTCTCCCTGTAGGAGTCTAGCTCTGTTTTTTTTTAATCTGACAATGCCTGACTCTTGCTGGGGCTGTTCATTTCACTTACCAAACTATTACATTGCTCTGGGGGAGAACCCAACATTTTTCTAAATATGGTTCTCCCAGTGAGTGAGTGTTACCACTGCAGCATCATTACGGAGTAGCGTGAGAGTTTTCAATTATAAAGCTGCAAAACAGTAGCTGTTCTTCAGCCAATGCTGCTGCATAGCTCTGGGTAAGTGGAATAAACTTGCCACTCTGCAGGCTTGTTGGATGCATTGGCCATGTGCATTTTTGCACATCTAAATGCTATCTAAAATGCTTGAAGTGTAGTACCTAATTAACTTAGACCATAGTTAGGCAAGACTAGGAGTCTTTGAAATCCCTACTTGGCCAAAGTATTACAACAAGGGACTTGAGTGAAATGTTTTGGTTTTTTTTTTTTTTTTTTTCTTATGGAAGTGTTTGACCATGAAGGCTATTAAATGTTTCTCAGAGCTATGGAAAGCATACTACTGGCTGCACTGATGTTGTTGTGTTCAGCTGTTCTTTTATGGCCAGATGTGTAACAGCAACTGCTAGTTCTGATCTCACTAGTTCTAAGTCAGAACTGGTGTGTGCTGTAAATTACTGAGACCTGCTTTAAAAGATCGGGAAACACAGGGGGGTTATGCATATATCTTTATTACCTGATATCAGGCATAAACCTCAAGATCAGAGTGATTTCAAATAGAGAGGAAATTTAAAGGTGATAAGTAAGAGTCTTGCTGGGTAGCTAGGGTCTTCATCAGCACAAGTATCTAACCGCTTTAATGAAGCGCAATTGAAACAAAACAAAAAAAATCCTGATGGTAGTGCATGTTGTCCAATGAGCCTGTGTACCAAACAGTTTTCATATATACCATTTTTTGTACTGTACTTTACAAGGCAGTTTAATTGTTCCCTGTGCTATGTTGTCTTGGAGTGGGAGCTATTTCAGGGGAGTGGGAAACCAAATACAAAGAACTACTGATTTACTTTTTGCTTGAAGTAAGTACACTGACTTTGCTATTTCTTCCTTCATGACTGGGGAGAATATCAGCTGTGAACACTAACATCTGTAGTTCTGTTGGAAGATGTGCCTTAAAGTTTTAACCTAGTGTTTTAATTTATGAGTTCTTAAAAGGAAAGCTGTATATTTCCACAATGTCTTACTCATGAAATCTGTATTTTTGCCCCTCAAAGTGTCATGTGAAGGTGAAGAGTTTGGTTTGCTTGCTTGCAACCAGGTTGATTGATATAAGCCCCTGACCTTCATCTCTTGCAGCGATTAGACATTGCCAGTAAAGCTGTCATTAGTATAAATGTGGCATGCTTTAGGTTCCAATAAAAACAAAAATACTTTATTATTAATTTCTTAAATAATGACTACCAGGTTACGCCAATATGTATTTCTTGTGTGGACTTGCGATCAAGAGTGTATTCCTGTCAGGAAGTCTCCCTGGCCAGGTGTCAGTGCTGCAGTTCTGGGGATCTGCTCTTGTTCAAGTGCTAAGTGTGATACCTGCTCTTTTGCACTCTTTTCTGTATGGTAAGTACTAGAACTGTGATATTTGCAAGCTGAAACTCTTTTAAAGGTGAACAACAATTTTTAGTCCTACTCAGTGAATTCAGATGAGCAGCAATAATGCTTGAATCAAGTTCTAGATCTTCCTCCTTGCATTTCTCTTGCTACTGTAGTGTTCTAAGATAGGCAGCCAGTACTGTTACTAAATACATAAACAGAAGAGAATGGTTACTACTATTTGCAGAAAATGTTGAAAAACTGGAGATATCGAAGAGAAATAGGTATATCTACATCCCTTGGGCCAATAAGGGATGAAACTTTCAGATTGAGTTCAGGATAATTACTTGAATACCAAGGTAAATTAAAAATGCAGCTAGTACCTACAGGTCTGTTGGGGAACTTCTGGCTCTCAAAAGATGTATGAAGCTTGCTGTTTCTTGTTATAATGAAACTATGAGCAGTGATGTGAATTCCTTAGGCTTGGTGTCAGTGACTTGTAGGAAACATCTGGCTCTTGCATGTATGCTGTTGCCCAAAGACAGTTACTGACAACTGTCCCAAGTGAAGCCCCATAGGAAGTCTAATATCATGTCCTAGAAATGGGACAGGGCTGCTGTGTGACCTGTTTCCTTACTTGACAGACTCTAGTAAAGCTTCTGCTGTGTTACACAATCACCTGGTCACTTCTAATTTTGTAGCTCAAAAGAGCATCACGGGACTATACTTGAAAGATGTCTGTTTGAAGGATGCTACCTTCTGGAAAAAGATAATCAGGCTTTATTTGCTGTTCATTTTATCTTCCTGTGTGCCTCTTTCTCTCTGCTGGCATGAGATCTGGGGTGTGGGACAAGGCAGGTCTTGCTGTTTCTTGAACCCAAAGTGATAGATGGGGAGCTTGACCAGGTTGGCTCTTGCATCTCTCCTTGAACCCAAAGTGATAGATGGGGAGCTTGACCAGGTTGGCTCTTGCATCTCCTACTGTGTGGTGCATTTAAGCAGTACTTTTTCATAGCAGATTAAACAGATTGTGCCAAAAAGCTTTGTTTTCCTCCATCTGGACAATTAAGTGTGACCTTTGTTTTTTCTAGTTCAGGGAAAGATCTCTGTTGGCTCTCTGCTTTCTGAGTGAGAAAACTCCATAACTCCTGACCATTATGAACTTTATGTATGGCAGAGAACTGTTGGTGGCAGTAATGACAAATGCTAGCACAGAGGAAATGGTGGATGCTTGCAGAAGGCACACAATGAGACTGCAGCAGTCAAAAGATGTCCTACATTTTGGATGGGCTTGGATTTCTGGAAGACTGGGGACCTGCACCCCTCCAGTGACTTCAGAGGACAAAAAGATGATAGGAGGGGACAGGGTAGTCACTCTACCTCTTCCTATTTCATGCATGGAAATGTGTCATATCCTCTTCTGAAAGGCATGCTGATTGGAGATGAGGGAGGACCTTACAGTTCAGTGCCCTTAAAAAGGAAGGTAGTAAATAGCAAATTGTGATGCTACCAACAGATTCCAGTGCATAAATTGGAGTGCCACAGAGCACTGGGAATTTCCTGCTGCAGTTGACTACTAGCTAGAACACCAAAGAGTCTTGGTAAAAAGTGCTGAAAAGACTCCTGCAGCTTTGTTGTCCCCTCTGGGAGGAGGCAGCAGTGTTGCAGCTTATGCAGGAGTGGCACAAGGAGCGTGTTCTGCTCTGTGTTCACTGCAGCCCCACAGGAAGGGTTCCACAAAGCAGGTGTCTTTATGCTTACCAAAATTAGGAAGTTTGTGTTCTTTATGGTGGGAAGAAATTATGCAAGCATGTGTAATAAGAATATAAGGCAGAGAGCTTCATACATAGGAGGTCTAGAATAGAAAAATGAATGTTAGGATAGGTTTTCAATGACTGAATTTTGTTTCTTGTTTGAGATTAATTGCCATTCTACATTGCAAAGATCTACACTAGTAACTAGTGACTGAAGCACTTTAATGCTTTTAGATTTCTGTACCATTGGAGAGATTAATTTAATGACGAAACAGGTACCCAAAGGCAAGTCTTTAGAAAAGAGACAGATTTGTTGCTCTATGGCAAACAGATAACTTGTTTTGGTTGGGTGAGCGATGTTTTTTACCCAGGTGGAAACTAAAATTATATATGGAGCTATGTTGCTTATTTCTCCTTCTCCTTGCTCCTTTTAGACCTTTAATGTCAGCTGAGTTCATTTATGTGTACTAAAGAAACTGCTCTGACTTGTGTTTTTTAAACAGTATGCAACTCTGTTGAAGAACAGGATTAATTCTTGTGTAGAGAAGTATTAAACATTATGTTCCTGTTGGAACAGAAGGCCCTGTTCTAAACAGAAAAATACTGTAGGATTTTACTTGCTTTTTGTAGTCTTAGAGTTGGTGTTTTAACTGCCTGAGCTTCAGAGTTAGCTACAAGAATATTCCCACTCATGTTAATGAGCTGTGCTGTTAATGAAAGATTTCTGGCCAGCAAAAGATTGGGTACAGAAAAAGAAGCTGCTCATGTATTTTTGCTGGTGGTGGCAGCAAGCTCTGTAGCTGGTGGAACACCTACAATGATAACCTCTTGGACTAGTTTTCTACTTTCTAGCTCTAGTGTGCTAAGGTAATCTTCACAGTGCAGAGCAGATGCTCTCTTGGCTTCTTTCATTTCCAGATGGCCTGAAGCAATTGGTAAGATGACTGTAAACTCATTTCAGTAGTGTAGTAGCTCTAAAATATTAATACTGCTATTTAAATATCTTAGATGTTCTTATCCTGCCATCTCAAACTAATTGCGACATTACTATGTCAAAAAAACCCCAAACAAACAAAACCCCATTTGTCTCTCACTTGGCTGGTGAATCCCAGTTCTTCTGGTGCTGGCACATCTGACAGTGCAGTTAAGTGTTACACAATAAGCTTTATGCTAACATTAAAAGCTAAACATGGAAGCAATGCAGGTGGAACTAAAGCTGATCCCTGAAGGCTGCTGTGCTGACTGTCATACTTAAGCATCCTGTGTGACAGTGTGGT